GTGCATGTGTGAGGGGAGGTGAGTTGGACCATGGTAAGTAGAACACACGAACAAAGCGTTTTTGCCGACAAAGGATCGGGTCACGATGTATAAAATGGCGATAGCTTCAGCCACTGCAATAATGCTCTGCTGTACTGATCTGGGTTGATTAACCGGCGCTTGTAAACAGCGCGGAAACTTTGGCTGGGTATCACGTTGTGTGAAGTGTCAGCTAAATGTTGTACTACAGAGCTGGTTATCGTCCTCCTAGTTCCAGAAGCTAGCCAGGGTGGATTGTGTTCCTTCATTCTTTGGCTGAGTTGCCTAGTCATGCGTCCGATGTATTCGCTGCACAGCAGCAAGAGAATGAGTATACTAACATATTTTGGGCGTGGACAGGCACTCTATCCTTAAGATTCAAGGGGTACAAACGATTGCTGGTGAACCAGGTTCGGAGTTTTGCGGCCGGGAAAACTTTGTTCGGACTGGTGGAAAGTCATCTGTTACCATGGTCCAACTCACCTCCCCTCACACATGCACCTTGTGCGGAACACACAACTACAACACCCCCCGAGCTGACTAGCTCAAGTCATCCTATTGGTGACCTGAACTAATTGTTCTTTGATAGGTAGCCAATGTCATCTCACTCGATTCCCTGTCTATTTGAACCATACTCATTCAAATATGTTTAATACCACTCTCTTAACCTTTGCAATTGTATGACTTGAAAAGACCTTGCCGAAAACATGTTCGTCAACTCGTATGTGTTCTTATTATAAATGGGAATTTTCGGAATAGTTTATATACCTTTTCCTCGGATTCAAATCCAATTTTCCTTGTGCAGAGTGAAATAAGTTATTTAACGTAGCCACACAGAGCCATAGATTCACATTCTACGTTGAAAATTGTTTATACTGTGACCGAGCTATGTCTCATACGAACAATCAGATTTGTTCTGCATAAAAGTGGGCATGGGCTGTCTATTCTTTCCGCCCATCATGTTATTCACGACAGTGGAAGAAACTATACAAATGCGCATGGACTGTCACGAACGAAAAATCATGATTGAGTCAGTTGATTATACCGCTGTCCGTTCAGAGAGTTTAGGAACTGCTACGGGATTACATGTGTTGGTAACACAATGTGATGCTGATGCATATTCCCTCGCCATAATCTCAGCCCTACATGTCATCGGTTGTGATGTCGACTTTTTGGTTCACCAACCGATGATCATCTCTTATCGAGGGATCTGCTTTAATCAATCCGCTAAGGCTGTTATTGGACTGGGACTTCCTAAGGTCGCAGTTAGTGACTTGTAGTTGCTTACCATGGTGGGCTATCTGCGTACTTATGACACTTTTATGCGTGGCAAATGGCGTTGAATGCACATTTTAGCCATTTAATCTCACACCAGACCCAATATGACGGACACTTTGTGCCTGATGTGCGAGTCTAGACTGTGCTAGCGCCTACCGTGCCTTGAAGAGCATTCAGCATTGTTTGTCCCTTTTTCGGTTGTTGGTCTTTAGACGCGTGTTTCCGTACCAAAATCTTTACATACCTTGGGATTCACCTCATCAGACTGAAACTGTTCTTGGCATGATTTCGAATGAGACGTTTCTCACTTCTCTCCCATATTCCCCTGTTACTCTTTCGCATTCATCGCTTTCATTCACTTTTTATGTTTGTGGCCATGCTCTTCAAAAATAAATGATAATAGAGAGAAAGCGCACGAATAACGAAGCGCTGCCTATTTCCTCCCCCCCACAGAGGCCATCGTGGTAATGCCCGGAGGCATATAGGGTATATCTGGAAGATCCCCAGTTGCATCCTCCGTGAGAAAACATGAGTAACGAAATTTCCATTACTGCACTTGTTGAAGGTAAGACGATATTCTATTTCCCACCTATGGTTACTCCGATTTCGGGCTATTCATTGAATCTGGATTCTAACCCCAACAATCGGCTACTTCGATTTGGCGCAGGCGGTATACCGCTCCGTCAGTATCATTCTAAATGGAAAGAATAACCACACTTAAAATCAATGTTTTGGCTGCAATGGACATGAAAATATCTATAGAGGCTGAAAACACGACAGCGCTGGATAACGGAAGGTAGAACGTTAGACAGCGGTGCTGTGGTTTTGGTTGTATCGGGCAAGGGACTCCTGATCCCTTGCTATAATCGAACACCGTCGCCGCAAAAATGAAGGTCTGGTGCAAAGTTTGGTCATCAGGACAAACGGTGGGACAGTCAGAACATAGATTTGGTGAATGCATCCTTTACACGGAACGCATAGCCAGGCAGAGCTAAGTGGACATTGGCTCTCCTCAAGTGACATATGGGTCTTTGTTTCTGTCCCACAGAGGGCAACCATTGTCAAGTAGCCGATTGGAGGGTGTTGTTTAGGTAAGAAACCGGACAAAGCACTAGGAATGAAGATGTGTACAGTGTGAAAGAGGTTGAAGGGAGTGGTGTACTGAGTGCGAAGAATTGCTGTGAAAGTTTTCTACGAAAATCAGTCTTCCATGTTAGCGAAACACACCCATTTGCGAACAAATTTGGTTTTGCGAGAGATTGACCTAGAACTCAGTTGAATCTTTCGTTTGTGATACCTCAAGGCAACTAAATGTGCTGCACCAGGCCGCCTCATGTTTCGGTCGCTACGAGATTCGAGATATCGCGATATACATACTCGTAATGCGCTACTTATAAGGTTTCTGAAAATTCTTCGACAGATCACGACCGGTTTCACTCTTGTTGGGGCTAATCAGGTAGGCGCAGTTCCCGAATTTCCGTCAACGTTATGTTCTACTTGAAACTTGGGGACTGAGCAAACCCGATGAGCTCCAAGAATGGCGAAACCGGCTGTGGGCTGCCAAAGAATTTTTGGCAACCTTATGAGTAGTGCACTACAGGTACTCTTCTATGCGCTTTATTTTTTTACCTTTATTATTCTTTGACCATGTTGTTTGTTTAAGTGTCGGTTTTGACGGTTTGTCTGAGTGACAAAGTTTGGCTAATGTTACCTTGATGTTAATCTTCTGGTATCACCAGTGATCTAACATTTAGTTTATTACTTCGGATAAAACGTCACTCACATTAACTCTGTGATACTATTCTACATCTTCCCTACATTTTCAGTACTGATTACTACAACTGTGGTATTCTTGTTGTTGATGTATCTGACATTCCTTTCAATGGCGAAATTGAGTTTTGTGGTTTCGATCCTAATTTACCTAGATAACCGGGTAATTTGGGATGCGCGTAAATCACCCATAATTCGATACAGACAAGTTTTTTAAAAGAACTCAGGCACCCAAAAGACGAATGATGACGATATGATAGTAACATTATAATATAATATAATGCAATTCTATAACAGTATAAGTTGGGAAGCGGGCAACTCTATGTATTCAGGCCTATCCAATTGACCTTCATTGTAGCGCACATGAACGAGGCTAGTGTGGTTCTCAAGGTCAACAGAATAGTCCGTGTATTGTATCGGCCACAATATTGCATCTTACCTTGTCAGTGATTTGATGGCTCCACATTATTTTCTCTGTGACAATCCTTTGTTTAGAAAATAACGGTATCACAAAGCTACAACCTTGAACTGGTTTTGAGGGATGCGTATTAACTCTAGAGGATCTAATAGAGGACATCCTATGCAGATGTCCACATGTAGTAAAGTACTTCCGCTTTGGACGCCAAAGTTGTCACCAATTCGGTAATTTCAATATTACACTAATAAATGAGCTCTCTTAGCCCTGTTTCCAGCCCCAGAGCATAGCGCCGTGCCGAATCCAAACAGCGAGGATTTGCAGCATACCCATATCGGGGATGCTTGCACACCCTGTGGGAGAGAATGTGAGATGCCACCTCACGTGCAGCTAGGATGTTGATTGCTCCCTTAATGAAACGAATACTTGAAATTTGGCTGCCTGCCAAGATGGTCGTTGTCCGTGTATGACCAAATGTTCCGCCCTGTGTTCTCGAGATTTCTTCAGACAGTTCATTTTGGGCGTGATGCGCATGCCAGCCAACCTTCATCCTTCACACAGCAAAAAACTCATATGTCCGTGATAAGCCGATCATACGTCGAACTCTAGTGGAGTTGAATATCACAAGTGTTTTCGGCAGGATTTCGGTAATGTAAACTTTGGCTGGGTGTGCAATTTCTTTTTGCGACATCGTCTTTGTTCGAGTTCCTTGTGTCTTGCCCTTTCTATCGACCCTGATTTTTACTTCGGCGATTCGTTTCGATGATAACTGAAACATTGTCACCACCAACAGTGCGATTCCGTTTCGTATTAGTTCATGTTTCAGAGGCAACGTGTCCCCATTTATAAGCTGCTCGGCAATGTTTTCAGATCAGATAACCAACTTTCATGCTTCAGATAGTCGATGGATCCCGCAGTGCTTTGCTGGCATGCGTGACCATTTCTGGGTCACCGTTGCGCAACAGCAGGCACGACGATCTTTTTGCCACTGGTTACTTTTCAATTCAGTTGAGGTGTATCGTCAACAAAATCACCCAAAAACTGCTATTTTTAGCGTGACTCGCAATGGTATGAACCCTCGTGCCTGGTTATATTGTATGCTGGGTAAAAACTCATCAGGAGAATAAGAGCGAGGCGGGGCATAAGATGAAAGACCTTTATACAAAATGTTACAAAACTAACACCTCTTAACAGGTGTCGTTATTTCATACATGTGCAAGTCTACACGGTGTTGATTTGTTGGGCAACGGGTGGACACATTTCTGTCGCCTGTTGTACTAAAATTAGTGTCACAGGTTTCGGATAATGCGAGACTGACCTTTTGGTCAAACTAGTGCATGCCTTTGTTCCATTTGTGAGCTTGTAAATACACTACCATTTAGAGTGGTCAATATGGCACAGTAGACAGTCACAATGGCAGTCTCAGTTATTTCCAATGAACTTGCTCACTGGTATGCAAATTTAATTGGATTTTTAGGACAGCATTAAAAAAGTAACATATAACAGGCAGGCTATACCTATGGCTGCCATATCACGCGATCATCGGAAAGAAAGATTCTGTATTCTAGACCTCGATGACTCGAACGGCTACGAATTCAATTCGGAAAATAGAAAAAATTTTGACATGTGGAGAGACAATACAGGGAAGATTGGATTTGAGGCATCTTACTCCCACACTGGTTTGATCAATCTGCATGTCAGTTCTATTTGCCAAGGACTGGCAGCTGGACTAGAATACTCAAATGGAGGAAAACATCAGTTTACCGAACTAAGGGGCAGCAAACCCCTGGGGACAAAGCAGTCAGCTTTTTGGAATGTGAGCTGCACAGGTCAAGGATAGAGCTAGTGGAGTTCTGACCAATCAATCGGGGCAGCGGAGTCCGAGTTGAAGCCTCATATTGACATTGACTGTTTAGAACACTGGTTACCATGTCAACCAGCACAACGGGACAAACAAAAGACTACCTATAGTCCAGTTCAACCATAAATGATAACATTTATACGACACTTGAACAACTCCGTCACAATTGAACAACATTGACTGACCCACCACTGAGGAAGGTTGCACTGGTTTGAAGGCTTTCTTACTAGAGAAGGAACCCGGATGTTCGAAACATGACGTTAGACGTTAGCCACTGGACTGAACGGTCGGGGGACAAATAGGCATTGGAGTAAGTGTCATTAGGAGGACCATAATCCCAAATATACGCGAAATTATAATGTCAACAAAATAGGACTTTTTGTGGGGTCCACTGGTATTGATACCACAATTATGAGTACTCTAGCAACCACAGATCCTAAAAGAATGTCCACAACTGTGGTGGTAAGAAACATTTTCAAAAACCAGCTAAATGGGCTGGAATGGGAATCTGATTCCCGCAGCTCCAATTGATGTTAAGTAGTAAACTCAAAAACGCCACCAGCTGTAAACAAGGGTTGTGGTTCAGTTTTTCCAACTGGCCCGTGATTGTTAATTTGCGCGGCACGTTTTACGGACGAAAAGTATGTGGTGAGATATTGGTAGCTTAAGTGGACGCTGATTCGATTGCTATTGGTCTGTTCGCCAAGCGGTTTGCCTTGCGAAGCGTTCGTTACCTTTCAGGAAAATATCGCGAGAAAGTGGGGATTTCCTTCACTTCTGCTCGCGTTTTTGTGGTACTTATGAGATATTTCAGGAGTGTTCCTCATTGGACTCATTTGTTTCAGTATTCTTTGTGCTTTGTTTCCACTGATCCGTGTGTTTTTCTGTTGTGTCACACTTCGATCTGTCTACCTAAATTTTGCTTGATTTGCATGAGATCTGATTTTTTAAATTTGGACTTGATTCTGGATTTTGAGTGATTCATACGGCATCCTACTGTTTCTGTTGAGGTTCCCGATACGGAACTTTGAGTGACGCGTAGGTTCCACAATCCCGAATATCGAAGGGAAGAAATGGATTCGTAATTCTACGTAACTATTCACACAAGGGCAAGCGAATGGGTACAACAAACATCAGTTGTTCCT